CTACTACTACTACTGCGACTGCTACGGCTACGGCTACGGTTACTGCTGCTGCTGCTGCTAATACTGCTACTACTGCTACTACTGCTGCTGCTGCTACTACTACTACTACTACTACGACGACGACTGCTACTGCTATTCTTACTACCGTACTATCACTACGACCACAGTCACGATAACAGTCACGCTGCTGAGGAGAAACCGAGGTCCCGTCGCAATTCGCTGCTCCAGGGCTGCATGCAAGTTTTGACTCATGTGAAGGCGTCCTGCAATTGGGGGTTTGGGGTTAGGGCTTACGTGTACCTGACCTATAGGGCTACTCATGCCAAGGATCCCCCTCTAAACCCTAAACCCTAAACCCTAAACCCTAAACCCCTAAACCCTAAACCCTAAACCCTAAACCCTAAACCCCTAAACCCTAAACCCTAAACCCTAAACCCATAGCTTCTTAATTCGGCCGATACAGGCGTCCCACATTTTCCCCATTCTATGGTTCGGCTACCATGTCTTGACCCGTTAGTCCCGAAACCCAGTGCTTGAATAAGCAGGGAACCCAGCAGACAGATTGTAACCGGGGTTACATGGTTTAGGGTTCAGGGGCACTTGCACCGTAATCGGAACTAGGCTACTTTTAACCCCACCCATAAACCTGCCTATATAAGCCTTCGAAGGTGAAGCTACTTACAGCCCTGTCCACAACTTCAAGCCTACAAAGGGGTTATAGTGGGTGTATGTCGTGGCTTCGCAGCTAAGTTGAAACTTGTCAGTCTGAAGACTACGGTTCAGGCTAGGGCTTAGGGTTTAGGGTTTTGGGTTTTGGGTTTGGGATTTTGGGTTTTGGGTTTTGGGTTTAGGGTTTAGGGTTCAGGTTTTGGGTTTAGGCAGGGTTTAGGGCTTAGGGCTTAGGTTTAGGGGTCGCATGTGGGCGATTGCCCTTCAACCCCAACCCCTGGCCCTGCTCCTCAGCCACAAGTAGCACAAGCCCGCAATCCCTAACCCACACGTACTAGAGGGTTTAGGGTTTACGGTTTAGGGAGAAAGAAGCCAAGAATGCCCACCCAAATCAATGACACATGAACAAACCAAGTGGGACATGGGGGTTTCCGAAAATAGGGGACCCTAATACAGTACCCCAAATAGTAGGATCCTTATTATAAGGACCCCCAAATAAGGCACCCTTGACTTCGGAAACTCCCACATGAACAAACAAACCAAGCGGGACATCTCAGGCCCAATATGCAGGCGCCACCCAGCTCTCGGCCAACTCATTCGATCGACCTCAACAGAAACTCGCAAGGAATGCCTTCAGGGTGCTTATCTTCAGGTTGCATAGGGTTCTGTGCTTTCAAGGGTGGTGCAAGGGCATCAATTCAAGCTTGTTTTAAGGGTTTTTCGTGTTTTGAAGAAGGGGTCTTGAAAGTTGTTCAATAATAGTAATAGCAAAGATTACAATGTTATGAACAATAGGGGTAACATCAACACTACTGTTCATTGCTGTAGTTCATACAATAGTCCTACCTCTGGGGCCCTGACATCAAGAGGATCCATACATAGATCGAAACACGTGCCCTTAGGCGGTCTTTAAGTTTGTGATGTTGTTCAGATTCCGCAGCCCTAAACCCTAAACCGTGGGAAATCAGGGCTCTGCTGCTCCGCTGCTTTGAGCCAGAGGTGGGTCGCGATGAAAGAAGGTCCGAGGTAATAGAGGGGCCTAAATAACTACCAATGCTATTTT